AAGCATTTAGGCAAAAAATAACCGTTTTTTAAAAGCAACATTTATATAATACCATATGCTTCAAATGTGCTCCTGTTTTAACTTTTCTAATACTAGATTTTTGATGGAGTTGGAGGGTAATGACACAGAAGAGTGGCTTATATTGAAATATGGTGGGATGAAGATTGGTGACGGTCTTGCAGAGAGCCTAGCAGGAATCCTCATCAAGCTTCAGCCACAGTTTAGAGTACTTTGTGTATAGCCAGCCGTCTTTAAATTATGTCTTTGGCAGCATTCTTCTTGATCAACATTTCATTGATAAACACCTCAGTCTCAATATACGTATTTCATTATCCTTTGACAGCATTGTTTCATTCCTCTATGTTTAACTTTCGTCGAGAAGCCTACAATACTTAATCGTATCTTTCTCATATTCATGAGTAGATATAACATTCGACTTGCATGAAAAAAGGTCATGAAAATGGAAATCTCGAAATGCAAATAAATGATATAACATGGGAAATACACAAATGTTAGAACGGCTTTTAAGTCTTCTGTGCATACTATATACATCCCTTTATATTGTAAAAAGATAAATTAGGCAAAATCATCATAATTTGCACCAAATAATGAGTGAGGTAATAATACCTCACTCCTGCCGTACGAGGTTGCCTCGTACGGCATAAAATTGTATGGGGACGACCCATAGAGTAAAAAATACTACAAATGGACTGAATTACGGCATTTTGGCAGCCCTGGTGCAAGGACACAGCCTTGCCTCACTCCTGAACTAACAGGAAAGCTCACTTTACAGCACTTTCAGTACCAGTTTACAGACACTATTAGTCCAATAATCCTTGATGGAATTCCTCAGTCTCAGGATCTCCCAGAGTGATTCCCAATGCACTGTATCAAATGCCTTCTTGAGGACGATGAAGGCTGCAAAGAGCCCCCGCCCGAACTCCCTTGTCTGGTATACTGAGTAGCATGATGCCCATCAACAAGTCAGGAGGAACAGTACCAGAACGCCAGAATGCAGCCAGGACAGCATGCGATCCCCACACTATGGGTTCACCATCAGCCTTGAACAGTTCAGCTGGGATGCCGCAAATACCCGCTGCTTTACCGCTCCTCAGCTTGGAGATTGCCCCCAAACTTCAGTTAGGGAGGGAAGATCCTCACTGATGGGTGGGTTCGGCAAGGGAATCTCAGCAATATCCGCATCCATGTCAACTATTGGGTCAATCTGGTACAACTAATTAGAATACTCAGCCTAGTGCTCCTGCACCGCAACAGGATCTGAGATGATCCGGCTACTTACTAAGCAAACTGCTGTCACCTGTGAAAAGGGATTAGAGTTCAGCTTTCTCAGGGCTTGGTATGCAAAATGAAGGTCATTTGCTAAGAAATGGTCTACCTCCTCTGCATGACTCCTGATAAACTGTTCATTATCCCTTCTTAACAGATACCGAGTAATGTGCGCCTGAGAACAGAGCAAATCCCAATCTCCTGTCAGATAAGCCACATGACAAGCATCTGTGGCGTCCAGTGTCTCCTGCGAGATGAAATTCTGTCTTGCTCTCATACATTCTCCAATACTTTCTTAAGCTGCTTCGAGCGTTTCACACTTGAAGGTGTTCCACGGAAGTGCAAAGCCTGTCAGATCCTTGAGCGCTGCAAAACGACTAGAGACTGCCTCAGCAAACCCCTTGGAACACTCCCCTTCCTTCAGCCTGTCCAAGTTTAAACACCCTCGGGTGATCATTGGACTGCTAGGAAGTTTTGAAGTGGACCCGGAAGGTAGCCACATCCAATCTATGGTCAGTACCACAGAACTCGGCACTCCTATACACCCTACAGATATGGAGGATCCTCTAATGAGTTCTGATGAGTATGTCGTCGATCTCCTTGGCTGCATTACCTCCATCGCTGTACCATGTCCAGTGATGTGGGTCTGGGCACTGGTACCAAGAGCCAGAAATCCTCAATTTCTGAGACCTTGCAAAATCCCGGAAAAGGAGGCTATTCTCACTGCCTGCATCAGGTCCCGAACCATGGGGACCGACAGACATATAGCCAGCTCGATCACAGCCAGATACTGTATTAAAATCACCCAGACCTATTTGAATATTTCGCCAGGGATAACTGTCTGACACAGATGCTAGTTTGGTGTAGGATATCTCTTTCACATCAAGTTTACAAACATCGGTAGGAGCGTACACAGCAATATGAGACATGAAGCCAAATGCTAGCTTCAGTCTCATTTCCATTATACACTTATTGAATGGAGTAATCTCTACTACCAAGTGTTGGATTTAGCTGGAGATGGTAACCGTCACTACTAGTGATAGGTGTAGCCACCTACACTAATTGTGCCACTTTTCTCACCTCTAAGAGGGCAGCCATCTCAACTCTCATCCTCACCAGTTCCCTTGACAATATATATATATATATATATATATATATATATATATATATATATATATATATATATATATATCTCCCCTCCTGTGCCCTGACCAATGGACCCACAGCCTGCCTCTCATTTCCTGTTATGATTTGCATTGCCGATTGTATTATATGCAGGGAGGAGGACTGGCAAGGCCCACCTCCCCTGAGCATCCCATTCACCCCAGGGGGCTTAGGGGCAGGAGTTGGTAGAGAGGCAGGGTGTTTCCACACGCCGGTGGACCATAACCCTGTACCTCTAGAGCCTCCTGCTGCTCCGGGATACCTACAGGGGAGGCTTATGCAAAACTGCTCCATTTTTTGCACTAGGCTAGCCAGCAGTGGGAGCTGGAAACAAGAAGGCGTGCAAGCTCTATCGAGGTTACCACACCCTGCATGTGAAGCACCCACCCATATATATATATATATATATATATATATATATATATATATATATATATATATATATATATATATATTATTATATGTGTGTGTTATATATATATAAATATATATACTATATATATAATATATCACACACACATATATATGTATATATAATATATATAAATATATATATATGTATGTATATTATTATAGTATATATACATACATATATATATATATATATATAATACATATATACATATATATATATATATATATATATATATATATATATATATATATATATATTATATATATATATATATATATATGTATATATTATATATATATTATAATTATATATATTATATATATATTATATATATATATATATTATATATAATATATATATAATACATATGTATATATATATATAGATACATATATAATATATATATTATATATATATATNCCTTCTTCCGTAGGGCCTTTCTTTTTTTGGGGCGATCAGCCTTTTGGGAAGGACATATTGTTATACTTTTCCGAAAAATGGTTTTTTGCCACCATACCCATAAACTACCGGTATTCGTTCTGATTCATTTTCACTTTTTCTAATAGCTTTCACGAAATCCTTGAGATGCCATACGGATAATTTGATACAATAGAAGGAGATGCAAACCTTCGCTACATTGAGAAACTGAACAACGTATATATATATATATATATATATATATATATATATATATATATATATATATATATATATATATATATATATATAATACATACCTACACACACAGACACACACACACTGATGCGCGTATAAATAGAAACAGTTACTCGCATAAGTATGTGCTATACAAACAACTCTATAAACACGTAGATGGAGATTACTAATTACTTTCATGACACGTATGCTTAGATAAACAAATCTATATAGTATTCAGAAACACACCAAAGTAAGTTAACTGACAATTACTCTTATGGATACAGCATGTGAATGATATGAGGGTGTTACTTCTCGATGACAAATGAATAATGGATCTGGATTACATAAACCAGAGAGCAATTCCACGTTCAGTTCTTTAATAAAAGAAAAAAAACCTTCGGGATGTCCAGCACCTTGCAAATTCATTTATACTGCTACTGGTTTAATGATATTGCAGGAGGTTTGAAATAAGACGCTTCATGTATGTTATATCTATGAATCTTTCTGTCCATCTATCTATCAACCTATCTATCTTTCTATGTCTGTAAGTATATATATGAATAAAGAAATGAATAAATGAATATACATATGTGTGTGTGTATGTGTGTGTGTGTGTGTGTGTGTGTGTGTGTGTGTGTGTGCGTGTTTGTGCTGTCTCTCTCTCTCTGTCTGTATATATGATAAACACGAAGCAAATCGATAAAAAAAAGGTTCAAAAGAAACGTCTAAGCCTGAAATAGATTCCAGAAGCAGTACTGAAAACGGTGGCTTTCTCATTATTGCTTTGATTGCAGCTCCAGCCTTCAGATGTAAGTCGCGTCTTGGAGCACGCCCTCTGAGTGTACATTTCTCTTCATTTCAGCAAATAGCTGAATATTTATAAACTTAGCTGTGTTGGGGAGTACATTACATAACTTGTTGACATATGAAATATATCTGTCACAATTGTTACGTTGAATCTAACTAGACATTGTCAAATGATGATGTGTATGTGTTGTGGGCCTTAGTCTGAGATTAATGCAGCATAAGATGATATTTACTATATACATATATAATATCTTATATATTATAATGTTATGCATAATATATATATATATATATATATATATATATATATATATATATATATATATATATATATATATTATATATATATATATATATATATATATTATATATATAATATTATATATATTATATATATAATATATATATATATATATATATATATGTATGGTATATATATATTATATATATATATATATATATACAACACACACACACACACACACACACACACACACCACACACTGGGTGTGTGTGTGTGTGTGTGTGTGTGTGTGTGTGTGTGTGTGTGTGCACACACACACACACATATACATATTATATATTATTATATATATATTTATTTTTTCATACAAGATAGGAAAGCTGCAGATGATAGACATTAAATTTTTTTTATTTGTACAAATCAATGTAAAGCGTACATACACAATCTACAGTATGTTTATAATGGTAACTATTCCAGTGACCTTAAAAATATATTAGTACTAATGAGTAGGTAGACGAAAATGAATGTAGCGAGAATCACGTATCTTCTACAAATAATATCTACAGTTAAGAGAACCCCTGTGCATAAAAAACATGATGAAATAATGAGGAACTGATAGAGTCTTCATCACACATGTCACTGCAGACCCATTTCGAAACCTCCATCACCCTTCGACGCATTTAGAGGTTTCGATTCCTCCGTCTGGTCTTTGAGGTCTTCCAGGTGGACCTCCTCGTCCCTCTCGCCGTACAGGTCCAGCTGACGACTGTAGTGGAACACGACGATGTCACCGAAGACTGAGATGAAGACGATCACTGTACGAAGTGGAAGAGAAAAGAGACATCGTTATTGAAGTTTGTGATCACGAAAAGCGAGGAAGATTCACTTCGAGGACTGGGCGTCTACGTTAATAGTTTTCAATGCAAGTTAGAGAGCAATTATCATATTTATGCACATTCGTCTTTCCTTACGTGACTTATAGACGTAGAATAAGAAAAATGTCTATAAATAAGGGCGGTAAGGGATCAAAGGGTCTTTTATAGCTCGCATATCTCACCAGCAGGAACTAAGTGTAGGATAGTTCTGAAAGCGTCGGAGTCATATAGCCAGCAGTTTCCCGTCATTCCACACGACGTATCCCACACGAGGCACGCAGAGTCTGAGAGTTAAGGACGTCAATTAGATAGACGGAAAGATATAAATTTAATAAAATAAATTAGGGGGAAAAGATGTAAATTCATATCATATTTTCGTTTTACCAAGGTAAGATGTATGTAACACTCACCTATAACGGCGCCCAACATTATGGGTGAAGGGATGAGACCGAAGAGGCTGATGAAGACAGTCACGACTCCCAGAGCCAAGCCTTTATCTTCATCCTCAACACAGCTGTCAGAGAATAATGCTGTTAGTTTCATCATCATCGTCATTACTACTGTTATATCATCTGTTGATATTATCATTTTTATCATCACCATTATGATTATCATCATTACTATCATTAATTTTCACTGTCATTAGATTTCCCCAAAATAGATGTCGTGTAGCTCAGTGGTTAGAGCGTCGTCTTGTAGTTACCTGCCTGTAACGACGAGAGTTCGAATCCCAATCGGAAAGGTTATTTTCTCACGTCATACTATATTTTTCACCTGTTGACTGGTTGATTAACTGGATAATCACCAGGCTTTCACAAAAAACTTACAAACACGATGAAAATAAATGCATGGACACAGGCGACAGTAGATTATACTATCGGTGCTTATCATGACAAACAGCATAGAGTTTTCAAAAAGATTTAAGCCGCAAGACTTTCACCTCGGATATTCCTGGAACTCGACAACGGAAACCAACAAGCGATAGACTTTTGGAAAGCCTACGAAGAGCATTACAAGACGCTGACACCGCTTTGCTGCTGCCCACTCTGCGGTGCGTGACGGTGCTGATGATGATCTTGATGATGAGGTAATAGAAGAAGGAGTCGCAGGGCTCGGGGCAGTAGCCGCTCACGCCGCTCCCGAACTGCACGGCGCTCTGACGAAACAAAGATTGATTTATATGCATGTATGTATATGTATATATATATATATATATATATATATATATTATATATATATATATATATATATAATTTATATATGTTTGTTATGTGTATTTGGATGTTAAATAACATTACAAAATTATGACAAAAATGCATATCAATAGTTTTGTTACTGTTCTCTCAAGGGATGCTGGAGAACACGATACATTGCAATTCAAAGATATGAATCTCAGCTTCAAATTTCATACCTTGTCTCCAGTTGAAGCATCATGGGACGCCGATAAAGGGTTCGTTGTGTTCGTAATACAGCTGCAGTTACTATAAACCTAGAAAAAAAATATTCATCAACCCAAAATTAGGATAGAAAACGTTTCCATTCATTCCATAAATGACCCAAATCTCAGTTTTAACAGCTTGTTTGGCTCACTTACGATGGGACTAACGGAGGTGTCAATGGCCGTACAGCCAGCGTAGCAAGGCGAGTAGAAGAGCGTGGTTTGGTCCTCGGAACACATGGGCGAGAACCTGTCTGAACACCCGCAGTTGGAAGAGCACCCGGGTAGTGGCGACCTATGGAGGGCATGAGGATACTGAATTTTTGGTTTCTCTTTCTCTCTGATGATCTAGAGAATAAGATCGGAATGATTTCGGACGTCTAGATATCAAGGAATAACTCGGTAACAGAAGAGAAGAGAGAGGAGAGAGAGAGAGAGAGAGAGAGAGAGAGAGAGAGAGAGAGAGAGAGAGAGAGAGAAGAATCATAATTAAACGAACTGAATTCTCCTTTGCCTTGAGATTCCCCCTTCCCTCAACCCCTAAATAAAATCCAAAGAACCTTACCCATCAACGGGCCCAATAACCTCTAACTTGGGACAGCCGATGAACATGAGGGAGGTGAAGCCAGCGCACACAAACAACGTGACGAAGATATTGTATCCTGTGACGAACCTGGGACTCGGTCTGGCCCATCTCATCACCGCTCCTCCAAGTCCAGTGCCAAGGATCACGGACGTCAGACTCGTGACTCCTGCAGGATTAGAGGTCACAGGAGGAACGAGTGAGGGAGAATATTTCGTGGGGGAAAGGATGGTGCGTGTTTGTTGTAGTGCACGAGGGTTGTTGATGTGTCTAAAAGGTTGGTGTTATCGGGATAAACGGGCATATTTTGGGATTGGGAAAATAGGATTCCATGAATGAACATCCTAATAAAAAAAAAAAAAACTACACATTCCCACAGGAGGCGATCCTCAGCTAAAACTAAAAACATACATTTTAAAGCGATCAGCCGTAACACTCCATACCCGTGTAGTAGTTCGCTTCTGCGGCGCTCTTCCTAAACTGGTTCTCGAGGTACTTGGGTTTGAAGTTCCAGTAGCCAGAAACAGCGAGGATGTAGGTCGTGGTGTTGAAGAGATTGGCGATCCAGATCTTGTTGGTGAATATGCGCTTCAGGGCCTTTTTAAGATCTGGAAATTTGGGAATTCTTTAGGGAGAGTGTAAAGGAAATGGGTCAACATGTCTGTTAGAGAAATATTATGAATACATTGTTTCTTGCACATATACACATGCATATGTACACACAGACACACACACACACAAAGAGATATATGTATATGCCTACCCATTATTCTACGAATATATCCACACACAAAATTAGCGAATACTCCCTATTTACTTGCAAGCGTGGGTTTCCTTTCCACTTTCTTAGCCTTGGCCTTTTTGACGAAGAACTCCACTCCTCGGTTCTCTCCTTCCTCAGAGTCCTTCTGTGCCTGCTTCAGGATGGCCCTCGCTTCCCTTCGCAGTGTCGCCGGTAACTTCCGTGGGAACAAGAACAAAAGATTCCCCAGCACCACCAACACACACCCCAACACTAGGAATCCTGTAATACCATTGGTGAATAGGGAAATGTATACTTTTTTAAACTAAAGATTATGTGCTTACTAATGGTGAAAAAACGATAATGGAAAATTTATCTTGAATAATTACCATTTTACAACTCCCATGATGGTGGAAGCGGTAAAGCAATGAACGCGGTCTAGTGCACCAAACAAAGATAACTTCCAATGCCTCCTTAATCCTGCATTGCCTAAAAGTCCCCCATGCTCTTACCCAACCACCAGGCGCCGAGCCACCGTGGGTCCCGCTGCGTCAGGTTCGGTCTCTTCGTCGGGTCGATCCACATGGAGAGGAAGTTCCCGCCCATGAGGTATCCGAGCACCGGACCCAAGATCCTCAGGAGCAACGTGGCCGCTAGCGTGCAAGGAAAGGGGATTTAATGCCTGGAGCAAAGAACAAGCGTAGTGTAATATCTGTCCGCGGTAACATCAGGAGCGTGTTCGTTTCTGAAGCGGAATTTTAGGATTTCTCCTTGTGGTGTTGCTCACCGTAATATATAGGGTAGGTCTTCTTGCTGATGTTGTCGTCGAGGTATGTGACGCCGATGGTGAAGAACACGCTGATGGCGATGCCCACGAAGAACTGCGAGACGAAGAAGATGATAACCGCGCCATAGTAAGAATAGTTCTCCGCGTCCTCGCCGGTGCAGGTGCTCTCGTAAGGCGAAAAACACAGATCATTCTTTTCTGTGTTAGAAAAGAAAACAAGAATATCGCTGTTGTACATAGGAAGACAATGAAACAGAAAAAAGTTATTAAGAAAAACAAGAAAAAATTTAAGAAAGCAGTTGTTAAGAAAAAAAAATAGATTCATTTACCGCACTCCTTTTCTGGGTCACGGCGTCCGAAACATTGGCGAGGAGCGAGGTCGCGGCCGAGCTCGAGGCCTCGGCGAGATCGATGGCCTCCTGGCCGGGCCCGTACAGGAGGTGAGGCAGGAGCGCCATGAAGCACGATACTGCCGCAAACATCACGCCCACGCCCATCCAGCGCGGACGGTGGCCGCAGTTGCCATAGTAGCCCAGGAACATAGCCAAGATGACCTGGGATATGTCGTTTCCCGAGAGGAAGGCACCTGAAGACAATTTCAAATGCATTACTGTCTAACATGTTTTCCTTCTCAGTAGATATCCGAAGCAATTCCATTCAAACAGTTTATTTCTAATTCTGTTAAATTTATTTCTAATTCTGTTTATGTTTTCCTTCCCAGTAGATATCCAAGAAGTTTAAAAAGTAGATATCTTCTCAGTTTATTTCTCTGTTAAAATATGAAAAAAAAAATTTAGACCTACCCGACTCCTTGCTCGTGAGCTTGAACCTTTTCTCGATCGTAGAGATAACGGAGACGGTGTAGGTGAAGAACATGCCTTGAATCAGCGCTATTCCGCAGTACACCAACAGGTAACACTCTTTGCGCGCCAACGACTGCAGCAGATGGAGAGGGGGGGCGAATGCGATGAGTTTTCGAGTGGCGCGAACTGGGCGTGTTTATAGGTAGAAGCATATATATATATATATATATATATATATATATATATATATATATATATATATATATATATATATATATATATGTATGTATGTATGTATGTATATATGTATGTATGTATGTATGTATGTATGTATATATATGTATTATGTATGTATATATATATATATATATATATATATATATATATATATATATATATATATATATGTATATATATACTATATACACATATATACCATTATGTGTGTGTCTATATACACATATATACCATTATGTGTGTCTATATACATATATATACCATTATGTGTGTCTATATACACATATATACCATTATGTATATACATATACCACTATATACATATATATACCATTATGTGTGTGTCTATATACATATATATACCATTATGTGTGTGTGTGTGTGCGTTTATTGTTTGCGCATTTTTCCCCAAATATCAAAGACGACGACGATGCTGTATTTGTTATTAGGAATAAAGTCTAATACCCTTTCGCTACAATAGAATAATGAAACAGGAATAAACACAAAATTGCGATTAATGAAGTCTCCCTACAATTTCCCGTTTTCTGTAGGTAGTACCAGTATCTCCGTTTTCTGTAAATGTCATAGGGATATCTATTCTATAAACTTTTTAATCATCCATCATCCCACCCGCCTTACCTGTAACCACGAGGGCGTACAAGACCCTAATCCACAGATTGTATCTTCTGCTTCGCCTTCTGTGAGGAGAGACAAAACTTCATCTTCTTTCGCCTTCGTTGCAGCGCTCTTCTCTGTTGCGGGCACGATCTGTGGCTTCAGCCCTCCGTTTATAAACTTTTTCTTCTGGGTCAT